TTTGACACACGTGTCTTTAACAAAGAGCGTAACTACCGTGTCTCTTTTTCAAACCTTTGAAAAGTAGGGATGGCTGAGTATTGAGTCCAGCCAGGTCTTGGCATCGAGATGACACGGCCTTATTTCAAAGTATCGGGTCCTCTTGAATGATTCCAATATCAGCCAAAAAGCCAAATAAATCAATCAATCAAACAATCTGACATTCAGTTAGTCTTCTTTGCGAGCGGTTGGTGCTACGCTGCAGCTATTTGACGCATCGGGGAATCAAATTAAGAATTATCTGTCGTTGTGTTCATTGAAATGTTTATACTGTGATTACTGGTGGTATCGGTACTTGGTATCGACCGCATTTTTAAATGTTCAGTCACATTTATGAATAGCAATCCGTTTGTGATCTTACACGTTTTGAGCCCAGTGTTGCTTTGCCTTCGGCTTCATTGAAATGACCGCCGCAGCAACACGTTTTCCAGCTGTTGTTCAGGCATCTGTCTGGCTTTAAGGCTCACAGGTGTTGGCTACGCACCACAAAAACCTCCATTTGCCATGCCTGCTTCAGGCATAATTGTGTCCTTTGTTCATTACGACTTCTGCAATTGTCTGAGGTGGGTGCAGCGGGCATTGTAAGAATCCCCTTCTCCCTCTGTTTCTGACCTACTCCTCTCTCCAAATTTTATTGTACTCGTTTTAAGTTCTCACAGCAGGTCTGACACTAATGCATGCCAGACTCTGTTGTCTGTTGCACCGAGTTTCAGCCATGAATAATTAATGATTTCCGATAAAGATGCTTGCAGCACACGCGCATGAAAGAAAAACACGTCTGCTCAAAGGCCTGGCCAGCTTCCTCTAACCGGGACCTTCACTATCGTCTCTTGGGAAGCGTAGGCACACGCTCGCGCCCACAACCTGGATGCCTGAGGGTATTCGAGTAGATTCTGATGTTTACCAAAGCTTAAAAAGCCGTGCATTTGCGTGCCACTGAATGTGGCCTCAGCCAGACGGGCTGCGGTTCTAATATCTATATTTACACACGCGGAGATTCCCTTGGGAGCTTTGTCGGTATGTTTGTTGGTTTATCAATACTTGTTTTTATTTGTGTGATATGCGTTTCTGATGTAGAAGACTCAAGGCAAGTATCGATTCGCTTGGACTAGAAATGCATGATTATCACCACTGAAGACGACCGGCAAGATTTTCCACTTGAATTTTCCGGGAAAGTGTCCTGCAATATTGATTCTCTCCTCCAGGAAGCGGAGATCAAGAAAATGGCCAAGAGTGGTAACCGGGAGGCGTGTAAGATCCTCGCCAAGCAGTTGGTGCAGCTGAGGAAGCAGAAGAACCGCACGTACGCCGTCAGCTCCAAAGTTACCTCCATGAATACTCAGACCAAGCTCATGAACTCCCAAATGAAGATGGCCGGCGCCATGTCTTCCACAGCAAAGGTATTCTCCTGAACATGACGCCCCCCCCCCTCCCCACACACACACACAAACACAAACACACACACTCAATGGTGCATTTTGGCACTGGTGAGAATAACCGTTCTGTCAATCAAAGGCCTTTAATCCTATCATGATGAAAGTCAAAAAAAAAAGTTTAGCTGCGTCACCGTTGCTTAGTTTCTGAACTCGTTTCGGTATCTATATTTTTGCGTGCCGTTAAAAGTGTGGGCGTGAAGCGGAATCTCAGCTTTGCTCATGAGATGCGCGGGGAACAAAAAGCCCAGAAGCTATCCACTCATTTCAGAGTCACACCGCCATAAACACGCAGGTCAGCTCGAATGAAGCCCTGAATTAATGAGGCCTAATCACGAGTGTCTACGTCATTCAGCTGAAGTGAATAGTTAGGCACCGTCTACGAGCACTTGCTTTGTGGCATGACACAACAAGAGTGGAATTTATCTTGAATGTCTGTCGCATGAGACGACGCTGCACCAAAGTAGATTCTCCGTTTCTTTTCCTGATCATTGACAAAGTCTTGTTTTATAATCTATATCACGTTGATATATTCATATGAGGATATAATGCAAACATTTAGCTTGTCTAGGAACAGGAACACCGAGAGCCCTCAACTCAAATTTCGATCCCAATCATATCTGCAGACAATGCAAGCAGTGAACAAAAAGATGGATCCGCAGAAGACGATGAAAACCATGCAGGATTTCCAGAAGGAAAATATGAAGATGGGCATGACAGAGGAGATGAGTAAGGATACACACACACACGCACACACACTCGCAAGCATGGCGAGAGCACATATCACACAGGAAGCCTACCACGCTGCCAACTACAGCTAAAATATCACGATCAAAATCAGTATTTTTCACTCTCGAAAGAACAAACTGGGGGTAAAAATCCTTGTCCTTAAAAGAGTTGTTCCCCCCCCCGTCCCCTCTTCTTTTTTTAGTAAACGATACCTTGGATGACTTCTTGGATGAATCTGGAGATGAAGAGGAATCTCAGGACATTGTCAACCAAGTTCTGGATGAAATTGGTATCGAGATCTCTGGAAAGGTGAGGAGGTCCAAATGAGAGCGTGTCTTAGTGGCTGTCCAACGTAGAACACTACGAAATACATCCCTTAAGTTGGCCAACCCAACTCCGGTCCCCCATCAAGCATGTTTAGAACGCACCAGATACAAATGATCAGCTCATCAGCAAGCTGTGAGAAGCCTGATAACGATCCCGATCTAAAGCAAATACTGAAATCGTTAAATGATAGCGCAAAATAATTTGAGGTGATTTGCCTCCTTGTAATAATGCTCGGGAATCAGCTTTGAGCTCTGCTGATGGCTTTCAGTGGCGTGAGCACAAGAAGGTACCACAAGGTGGAGCTGAGCTCTCAGCTTCTCAATGGCAGGCCGGCCGTCTGCTATGCGCGGGGCTCCCCCTGGAGGTTTTTGTAAGTTATTGCAGCTCCCTTCCCATCGTTGTACAATGAGCAGCAGCACAGCTGAAAAGCGAGAACACAAGTCTCCGAAGCTGCCTCGAAATTGGCTATTAGATAAGAAATCATGTTCTGGATCTTGTCATGTATTGTACCCGCCGGACAAAAAAAAAAAAAAATGGCCAGGATATTAGATAAGAAATCATGTTCTGGATCTTGTCATATATTGTACCCGCCGGACAAAAAAAATGCCAGTAAGCTTGTTTTCATTTTTACCGTCTCCATTTGTGTGCGCAGATGATCAAAGCTCCGGCTGCAGGAAAGAACATCCCCGGCGCCGCCGCCGCATCGTCCAAAAAAGTCGGCATATCTGACGATGAAATCGAAAGACAGCTCCGCTCCCTCGGCGTGGACTAACATCTTCGGATGCATCCGCTGTTCTCTTTTCATATGGCGACTGACGTACCGACTTGGTCACAGGTTAAATGGTCACACACACACACGCACACACTCACACATGAACCCACACTCAGGGTCAATGACATCCATTGACAGACATATGACTGTCTTGTCGATTGGCCTAGTTCTACTCAAATATTTATTATGAAATTAGTGAGGCGAGAGCTGAGAGGTGGCCGAACGGTGCATCCTTGACTCGAAAAAGCTGGAGGCTCCCCTGCACTCTTGTTTATGTTGCCACTCGTTCTCTTCAGAAGGGCTCTCATGCATATGCAAATCATCTTCTACCTTTGCCGAAACTCGCCGCTGTACTGGATCATGAAACACATTCTTCTTAGCTTCTAACAAGTTTTATTTTGGGGTAAAATGCATATAATCAATGAGCAAAGCCTCATAAGTTGAAACCTCAGCTTCACGTCAACGTAATAGGAGATTCAACTGTGTATAGATTTTTATTTTTTTTTTACACTGCTGACTACTGTTACAAGCCAATTCATATCACTGTTAGTCGTTCCATTCTTAGTAAGTAGTCGAGGGGTTCGGGTTGGGTTCTTGGTTAGTCTTTATCTTCTTGTATAAATCAAGGGAGTTGCTCAGTGATTGCAGGATGACGCCTGTCCTGCAGTCCCTCTTCTCTTTCAGCTGCTGTGCAGTTATGGATGTTTTTTTTTTTGTTTGTTTGTTTTTTTTTCCCTTGACAAGCTGCCTCTTGTCCCAGACGCACACGCAAACACTGCAAAGAGATTGTCACTGTGATGCAAGAGATGTTCATCCTCAATAGATAAAGCTCATTCTGCTTCTTTATTTGCATCATGGGGCGACACAGACACCATTGTCTTCTGTCTTTAAGATGTTTTGGCTATGTTAAATTTCCTCTACTTTTCCTGCTTTTTTTTTTGTGTGTGTGGCATGTGGCACACATGCACAACAAGCTAGTTTAATCATCCAGTCATACACTTGTAAACATCTTTTGAGAAGATTCATTGAGCAAAAACATCTTTGACAATTTGATTGCTTGGGAAGTTCTGTTTTATTTTGCGTGCGTGCGTGCGTGTGTGTGTGTGTGTGTGTGTGTGTGTGTGTGTGAGTGTGTGTGTGAGTGTGTGTGTGTGTGTGTGTGTCTGTCTGTGTGTGTGTGTGCGCACGTGAGTATTGCGTGTTTCCTTTAATTACTGGACTGTGTAAATGGGATTTTATAAGTAATAAAAATTCTTCTGGTACAACTTTTTGATGGTGTGCACATTGAAGAGGTGAAATTTAATTGAGGGTTTAGAAAAATGTAAACCATACCAAAGAGGATTTGAGTGTCTTGAAAATGATTTCTTATTTATTTCAGCAGTAACATGTTACTCATGCAGGGAACACCTTATGACAGCAGGTGGAGTCCTTGTACCATTTAGCTGGATTTGAATGTTTTAACTTGCAAATGGCCTTCGTTAATATGAACTAAAAGGGGCTTAGAATGGGTCATTTTAATACCTTTAACCCTTTAAGCAGTTTCCCTGAAAAAAAACATCATTCTATATGCACATACAGAAAAAGACATCATTGGAATCAATGTTTTCATGTTTGTTTGATTCGGTCAGTCGGAATGTAGAAATGAGAAGGAAAGGTAGCAAAGATACGAGGATGAAACTTTATTTTTGAGATGGCCGCAGTATCCACGCAACATTTTTTTTTTAAATTCTTCACCAAGCAAACCTGTTGAAAGATGTGATTTTATGGCAGTTCATCATCAATTTCTGGCGATTTGGTACACAAAGGTCTTCGGGCTGTGGTTATGAATTGCAATTTAGACTTTCACCAAATATGACACGCAAGCTCATTTTTCATTGCGATGACCTCGCATCACCCCGTGAGCAAATGACAGCTACAAGTTTGCTGTGCAGGCACTTGTGAAGCTAACGCGTATTACAACAACCCAAAATATATTAAGCATGGCTCAAATTCGAATTAAAAACACAGTAATTTAGCATTGAATATATTACATCTGAATAAATAATCTGTTGTGTAGTACAACTACACGTACTGTAGCGCTAATTAGTCAAATCTCTACTCACAAATAGTCATGCATAAACCACTTATGAATTATGCAAATGCACACAAATGTAATATTTAAAAAAAAAAAAAAAACATCAACTTTAGCTGACAATATTTCTGACATTTCACCAAAATGTCTTTTCATACGTGCTAAAACAATGACCTGTGTTTACTAATGAAGAAAAGTGCTTATCTATAAAAATATCATTATTATTTTTTGGATTTTCTCTTCAGTCACCAACTCCTTTAGTGTGAGGGGGAAAAAAAACATTAGTTACGGACAGAACTCACTGTCAAAATAAAAGTGAAATATTAAGAACCCACCCTTGATTTATATCATTGGCCGATGCGTTTTACTCAGCTGCCCGATGCAGTTTGTACTCATTTTGGCCAAGCAGGAGCTGAGGCTGGTTTTGACCCGTTTCTCCCTCTGGCGCCTATTACAGAACCACACTCGGACCACCTCCTTCTCCAGGTGGAGGCCTTTTGCTATCCGGGCTATTTCCTGGGAGGATGGTTTACTTTTTTCCACAAAGCTGTGCTCAAGAGCTTCCTTAGCGCCCAGGCTGCATTGAGGATCAAGCAGAGAGAGAGAAAAAAAAAAGCCTTTTAAAAAAGGACAGTCACAAGGCAGATTTAAAAAAAAAAAAGTCATTTTACCTGATAGTTGTTCTCCTCTTTCTCTTTCGCTCATTTATTCCTATTTTATCATTGTTCAGAGCTGAAGGCACGGATGTGAGAGGGAGCTGAATTAGCAAAGGTGACGAAAAAGATGAGAGGAATCGGCGACGGGCTCACCTCGAGCAAGCTCAGCCTCGTTCAACCACTTGGCCAGGATGGCCTTCAGTTTGCAGGCGTTCTTGAAGCTCAGCTGCAGGTTCTCAAAGCGGCAGATGGTGGTCTGACTGAACTCTGAACCGTGCACGGCGGCAAGGGCCTCGCCCACGTTGGTCTGAGTGTAGCCTAGTGGAGCACAGGTCGAAAAACGGGACGACGAAAGCACATTTCAAATGCAGTGGCGCGTTGTTGCCATACGAAAGTCCACTTGGCTTGTGGCAGTGTTATAATAACACTTGCTAACCTATAATACTGTTTCAACACAAACGGTGCAGCAACATGTAGACAAACAGTACAACAAAATTCACATATTTTCCTTATCCTCTATGAAAAATGACTAATATTACCACAACCTACTCAGCCACTTGCAGTAGTTATGAAAGTTGTCTTTGTTTGTGTCTGTCGAACTGTATTACACCGCCTCCCATTTTTCTGGGTCAAGACCGCTACATTTGTAGTTTTTATGTGGAAGGCAGGCTGGAATGGATTAATAGTGTTTCCATTCCTTTTAATTGGGAAAGGTGATTTGAGAGTGAGGTGTCTTAGGTTACAAACATGGCCACAGAACAAATTCAACTTGTATCTCAAGGCACCACTGTATTTATGTACACTTTGTAAACATACCCCTTGTCGAAATACCAGGTTTTTTCAATGATGGGGGGGAAAAAAACATAAATGACCTCTATGCTATACAGTTCAATTTTTTAAAATTGTTTTGTTTTTTTTTGAAAGGGGGGGGGGAATAAGTGGGCGTAGCAGAGTAGTGCTGTTCATGACATCATAATCCTCACCAAGTTTGATCCTCCTTATTTTAAAATCATTGGCAAACATCTCCAGCTCTTGGATCTGTGGAGAGTCCATAGCGGGGGTGTCCTCCAGCTCCCGGATGCTCTTCTTCTGGATGTTAACTTTCATCTCGCCCACAGCGGGGCCCCCAGGGACCTCGTCAGTTAGCAGGAGGGCCGAGGGCAGCGAGGAGAAACCGTGACTTAACGCGCAGGAGCTGCCGCTTAGACCGGGATCTGGAAACTTGTACAGGCACGGTGTCAGCGAACCTGGACAGAGGGACACAAAAGAAAGGCAAAGTGGGGAAATTTCGATTCGGCGACAGAACGTAATACAGTCATTGTGACATGCTTGAAGCGGGGCATTCAGTTGGTCGGGAGAGTCCCAAGTGAAGTCCCAGATTTCAAATGCACCAGTGTGAAGTGTTATACTCATTGAGATACAAGTCACGTGCTGTCATATCAGAAAAATAACTGTAGCCTGATGACTTGACTGGAAATGGCCATGCGGTCTGTTCGTCGTTACTTAGCCGGACGTGCTCACCAGTCACCCACCTTGCCGCCACACAAGTGAAACAGTGGTGTGAGAATTGAAGTTGTAGTTCTGAGAAATGGAGCAAAACCGTAAGATTGTTGTTTTTTTTTTTTTTAGTCTGTCACAAAAAGATTTGAAGCGCATCAATTTGCCAAAGATGAATCAGAAAAAGAAATGCGAACGCCACTGCCACCTGGTGGTTGTGTACTTACACTTCATTCTAGCACGGCACACAAAGCATGTCCCCCGAACTCTTTAACAACTGATCGACGGTAATCTAAAACTGACAAAATATGGCGATCCATCAGCCACAGAATATAATATTCTACAAGCGCACGGCTGTGTTTTCTTGAGTGAGCAGTCTCTCTGAATTGAATTTACTCCACCCGCCCCCCCCAACATGCATATCGACTTTGTTCCTGTTTCCATCGACTCCCAAAAGCAACGGAGCCTTTCTCTTCTAAAAACTGGACACTCCACCTCAAATATTTGAAGCCGCGACGAATGAGTTGACTCGAGTGGGCTTTGCCGAGTGTTGTTACTTGCTAGAGGAGATGTGAAAATCGGGCGGTTTAGGAGGCTAACATAAATGGCTGTTCTAAGTGTCATCCTCATCATTGTTGTTGGCGAGCATTTACCGAACAAACTTCTTCTCACGTTAGTTTATGGGTAAAAGCCAGTTTTCAATGTGATTATGTAATACACAGACCATATTAAAAGCCAGTGAAAGGATGTACTCATCAACTCCATCGTGTTGGTGTTTGAACGCCTTGTTTCGTCAAGGTCGCAGCAACAAGTAATTCCTTTACGCCTCGCTCGTGTGATGATGTTTTTCAACGCCAAGTGCAACTTTAATTTGTTCGAGGCTTCAGAGTCAAATTTATTACCTGAACTTAAATCCATTTAATGTGTTTGTGACCTCATGCTTCTTTTCAATATCTGCTTGGTCCTTCACTCGCTACATCCATCACATTATTATTGGTAATGAAGTGGGAATTAAAAAGAAAAAAAAAACTGCAGCAGGACTTTGACACGGTGCGCATAACAACTTCTTGGGTCATTTTGCCCTCATCTTCTTTTGAGCTCTTCAGATAATATTTGCCGTCTGTCTCCTCCATTAAAAGAATCAACGTTGTCACCTCTTTGGTGAATGTTAATAGTATTCCGTCCGCTCTACGCGATGACATCATCTGACGTCAACTGAAACTGTTTCGAAATGAAGCATTTGGTCTCGTTCTTTCTTTTAACGTCTCTGAATAATTATTTCAGCAACACAGATTAGCCTCTGGTGATTTCCGGTCCCACTGACATTTTCTTAGATCAGATCCGGTCTGACCGTTGGATCAGAAATTGGAGCTTTACAAAGGTAATCATGCACGGATGTTAATTTAATAACCGTTGACGATTGTGGTTGAAGTACATGCAGTGGTGGTGAACTGAACTGCTTGATACCAATGTATCGTTTGTCAGAACTGATCTTTTTAAGGTACAAGCGAAGTAACCGCCATTTCACAACAATGCTGTGTTGATTTCTGTAGCCCGCCATCAAAGAAACACATTTCATCTGTTTCTTTTTAAGATGAGGTAATTTCAGAATCCGCAGGGCTGACTCACAGTAGCCAGCAACACCTACAGCAGTCTGCAGGAACGGAACTGCAAATAGCACATTGTTTGGCAACAATACAAAGACAAATCGCTCCAAATGTTTCTTTGGATCACTGACACGAAAAATTCAATAATCAACTGTTCTGTTTGGGTATGCCGGATGTAACGCATCCAAAAGAATTCTGCTCCTTGGTATGTCTTAACATTTCGAACGCTCTGAAATTGATGCAAACATTTTACCTTCAGGCCTTGTTGGATTTTTAACCACGATTTTCAGCTTGATCATCACCATTTTACATTTCGTGTAAAGACTTGGGACTCTATTTTCATGAGCGGTGGAAATTCTGCGCGACGCGTGGCGGAATTCTGCATGGATGCGGGTTGGAATTTCGCAGACCAGAGCAGGTGCGCGGATTTGAGAAGGTCTGCGCCACTGTGGGAGTGATCACAGTCGATGTTAGTCATGGCCAATTTAAGCGGCTTCTCTGTAATTTTCACCCGTTTCAATTGGCCAAAAGGTACAATTTCATGGAAATAGTTCCATATATTATTGCTGCTATATTTCATGAGCCAAAGACTAGTTGTAAATCACAAAATCAGTCAAAAATCGCCACCCTTTGGAACTTTCATCATATTTCCACATGAGCACAGCTAAAACGGTTTAAAAAAAAAATAACCTAGTGGAGTAGTCACAAATGACCAGCATAACGCCGCTATTGATTGAAATCAGAGCATACAAAGAGGCTGCTCATTTTCGATCACCTGCCAGATTACTGCGTGATTACCTTGCAGCGGGTTTGCCGCGCTCACCATGTTAGGCGGAGGGACGCCGCATGTTTGCAGGATACAAGTCTGAGAAATACTTGCGGAGAGCATCTCCTGAGCTGGAATGAAAGAAAGACACAAAGGCATCTTTAGTCCCACTCAAGCCACTCAGAATTGAGTTGAAATGACGTCGTCATTGTTCCGATGACACTGTGAGATCCATCCAGTCAAGCTGCAGTACCTGAAGAAAACACAAGCAAGCGCAAGGGCGCCGTGCAATCTTTGCAAATCCCGAACCGCAGAGGTGTGAGCTCAAATGTGCTAGCATGTCTACCCTGTTGCCTCTTGGGCGACCGTCATAGCTGTATTTAGGTGAATCCAAATCTTTTTTTCTTTCATTTAATTCTGCAGTTACAGTACCTCACACAAAGAGGGCCTTTACCGTAATTTCCGCACTATAAGGTGCACCTAAAAGCATTCAATTTTCTCAAAAGCCGACAGTCCGCCTTATAATCCGATGGGCCTTATATAGGGATCAACACAGTATTCTGATTTCTTGGAAGTAGTCATTTAAATGTTCTGTCAAGCGCTTTGTTACAGCTGCAGCGTTTGGGAGGGCTCGATATAAATAAATCTGTATTTTATTTGTATTGTATTCCGTTAGTGTAGCTCCATCTAGTGGATGCATCACGCAACTGCAGCCAAGGCTCTATATAAATAAAGCTTATTTTATTGTATTGCTGTTAGCGTAGCACCATCTAGTGGATGCATCACGCAACCGCAGCCACTATTGTAGCTTCGTTTCTATGCGCCTTATAATGCGGTGTGCCGTATATGTGAAAACAGCTGTAATAGTCCATTCATTGAAGGTGCACCTTATACTCCAGGAGCGCCTTATAACCCAGAAAATACGGTATTTCCATCGCACCTTTTGTATGTTCATCATCAGGATCGCGCAGAAACTTGAAGCAGTTCAAACACCATCTTACGTATATTGTGGTGATCAACAAAGTACTTTCGATAGATTTTATCTTTATTCTTGGGGCAATGCGCTTCAGAGATGAATATACCAACTTTTTTGAAGGGAGATGCGGATGTTTTCTTAAACGACAAAAAAATGCATATTTTATAACAGTGCAGGAGTCACATTTATTTCTAAATGTCACAATGCTGGCGTATTATTGCGTGAGCCGTTCAAGGTAATGAGCTTCTTCGGCAACTGTGAACAGCGGTAAACAATGCACATTTACCGTCGACCTAAATAGACCGTGCACAGCACTCCAAATACACCATGAAACGAAAACTTCTCTTTCTCCACTTGTCCTTTTTAAAGCTCCATTTTGACGGATAAGCGAGCCTCACCACGCCAACCCACCTGCCATGATGCCATAGGTGGCTTGCTGGTTGCTGTAATGACAAGGCGTGACTGGGTAATGGAGGCTGGGGGGACTGTTGCCAAGAGGGTTTCCCAGGGAGTTTGCGGAGAGTTGCATTTGAGAACGCTTGGACGGTTGACCCAGGGACAGCCCAGACGACACTAAATGAAATAAACAGACAGAAATTAATACATTTCAGGCTGTGAGAGGCGGGGGTCGGGGGGGGGCGACTTTCTTGTCAGTATGATTATTAATTTCGCTCAAACTTTTCCTACATGTACCCCCCCCCCAAATAATTTGAACTACAAGTATCACGATCAACATTAAAATACAGTAGCACAGTTGGCCTAAGTGTTCATTAAAAAAAAAGGCAATGCAAAAGTTTTATTTAACTTTATTGTAAGTCAGTCTAACCTTGATTAACACTGTGCTTAAATGTAGAAAAATAACAAAACTTAGGTAACGATTCGCTTCAAAAGTAAAATAAAAATTATACCCAAACAAATATTTTAAAACAATTCTTATCTTGCATGCTTCGTGTGTGTGTGTGTGTGTGTGTGTGTGTGTGTGTGTGTGTGTGTGTGTGTGTGTGTGTGTGTGTGTGTGTGTGTGTCCTTTCTGGAATGGATGTTACAATGGAAGGTTTCTGTACGTCCACTTTTACTTTGTATTTTTACAACTCCTTATGTGCTGTAAATGCTTATGTGCGAATACGACTTGAATATCTGTTGGCTCTTCCTTTTAATACTTCATTCATTATTTGTTAAAAAAACAAAACAAAACAAAAACTCAATGATATTCCAACGCGGCGCTCAATTGCAATACTCTGTTGATGGGAAGATAAATAAGTTTGACAAAAAGAAACTGCCCTCCGAGGCCGTCTTCGATTCGCGCTTGTACCAGACAGAAAATTCATACATGCGCTGCAGCATTGCTGAATGAATACGGTGCCGCAAGCGCTAACTCAACGGCGCTCATTTTCGTATCGCACACGGCGATTAACCTATAGTCAAATTTTGCAATACTTAATCGTTAATCCCCTTGTGTTTTATATGCATGCAATATGATAGAAATGGAAGCCAAGTGATTTCTATCATCAGCATGAAAAAAAAAAAAAAATGCTCCCCACCTTGCCTCACCGCCGTGAAAGCAATAACACGTTACAATGCACCAAGATGGCTACGCTAGCCTGATTGGAAGCATTTTTTTGCCCACATTATCCTGATTCCTGCCTTTGTGACAGAGCGCACAATTGCGGATCGGAAGGAATGTCATTGTTATGGCGCGGCCTGCTGTATATTGCATCACTGTGAGGACAAGCAAGCCCACACAGAGCCAAAAGGTTGTAATGGCAATGCGCCCATTCCGCATGATGCAAGAACTGTAACTGGAATTGGGACTACAAAGTGAAATCATTTGCATTGTACAGAGAGTGACGCCTGCTGCGGTCGTCCTCTCTTCATCAGATTTTGAATCGATGTGTGTGCGGAGTGGTTTATTTTTGTGTTTCTAGTGTGAAAAGCCTTTTGGGGGGAAAAAGTCTCTGTATGTCTCTGTATGATTCACAAAAGTTCTGCATGACTACGACTCATAAATTAATCATTGTCAGACTGTATCCATATGAATACTGACATTTTATTAATAATACGGGTACGTTTCAAAAACACTTTAAACCCTTTTCTTGCGCCCTGTAACCCGATAACATGATAAGCCGTCCACTGAAAGGGTTAATATGCTTACCGAAACACATTTCTAAAACTCGCTGGCATTTATTAAGCCAGGTGGAAAATGCTTGTTGCGTTTATTTATTTGTCATTTCTAAGGTCGAAGTTAATTGTGTTGACACCAGCCAGTGATTCCGGCTGGGCCAGCCAGCCGCGGAGCGCATCAAGACAACAAACGTGAATTCACGTTCACGTTTATCCCTCAGAGACAATTCAGAGTTTTCAATTAATCTAACAAGTGTATTTTTGGACTGTGGTGGGAGGAAGCCCGACACGAGAGAACATTTGCTCACATTTTAACTCCTGGTCAAATAACTGTGAGCCAGACGTACTAACCCGTCAACCACGGTGCCACAACACTAAATGACAATTAATTGCGGCCGGACAACCCAACCCACATGGTAACAAAAGATGTTTTCTCCTTTTTGCACGAGTGAGAAAGGATTTAAGCTTCCGTGGTGCTTATGTGTTTGGCCAGAAAATGTTGTCGGTAATCCAGAGCGAGGCCCACTTACCTGCGGAGACCATGCTGTGGCCGTGGGAGGTGCTTGGCAGGCAGTCGCCGCCAGAGCTGTGGTGCATGAAAATTGGCAGAGGGGAGTCTCCTGCCAGAGGCGGGAAAGAGTCACCGCCGAATGCCTGAGAGGCCATTTTTGGCCTCTTCCAAGTTGTCCGATGCGGTCCACTTGATCTGCTCTCTTAACGTGCCCTTTTCAAGTCATCATCGCCTTGTCCTGCTTCTCCTCCTTTCCGAATCCTTTATTTCATTTTCACTCTGACCGTCTCTAGTTCATGGGCTGCTGCATGTTCTTACACTTTTGTCCACCCTCAACTTTTTGGGGGGTTTGCTCAATTCTGACGTCGATTTCTTTTTTTTCCCCGCCCACCCCCAAATTTAAAACGCAAATCTATATCCGAGCGAATCTCACATCCAGCTCCCTTCCTTCTATCCGATCAACAGGTAAGTCAGCATCTGTCACCCCCTGGAGACTTTGCATCCTCCTGCAGGTATTTATACCCCCCTCCCCCCCATCCCAACGACCTGCAACTACTCCTCACTCCACCCCAGGAGGCCCCTTCTTTCACATCAACCACCAGCTACCAATCCCATGCCACCGCTGTTATTGTGTTTTTCCGTACCTGCCTTTGTGTTATCCAGTCTCCAAATCCAGGATTAAGGTACAGAGCTGCAACGAAACCCGATCCCGCTCGACCCTCGCTCTCTCCCCGGTGCTGCGTCCCCCCCTACGCCTGATTAAAGGGTTCCCGCTGACAGGCCGTAGAATAAGCGGTGGCCAAATTAAACAAATGCTCGGGTTTGATTTGAATGCGCTCATAGGCTGCTTGTAATGGGGGACAAAAATAATATGGGTCAACAGTAAATTTGAATCAGAAATTGCCCTGAAAGAAAAAAAAATTGACGCTGATTTCAATGTTAATTTTTTGATTTTTGATATATTACGTCTTTTATTTTATATATATATATTTTAAGGCTTTTTTTGTTGTTTTTAAGTCTAACCTTACAGTTTGACACCAACACAGACCTTTGAAGTTTCCCCCCAAAATTCCATCTGTTGCTGAAACCAAGCTTTAACTCATAAATAATTCTAAACTTGTAATAATAATAATAATTATTATTATTATTATTATTATTATGAAAACCTGATGTGTTAGAAAAAAACTAGGACAGAGTTGGAATAAACGCACACAAAAAAACTCGAAAAATTGACTTGCATCCCTGCTAAAAATATTGAGAAATTTGTCAAGTGACACTTTCCCTTTTTGTGTCCCCAAGTCAGGCCTTCAACTGCTTGAAACACGCAGATATTTTTGTAAGGATGATGATTTGTGTAAATAACGAAATTGTGTACAAGTTTGGGGGTTTTTTTCCTCCCCTGATGTAAAAAATATAGGGTGGCTCAATAAAGGTTGTGAAACATTCTCATGTTATGATCAATTCCCAACCATAAAAAATTAAAAACAGTCTTTGCAAATTAGGAAAGAGATATCATGGTTCCCCTCCGCTAAATGTTAGTTGGTAGTTTCTTCCTATGACTTATCAAATTGGCTTTGCTCCACTCCACAAAGCCATCCGGTCGATAGCCGCTCAGTTGAAGACGTCACAACTTGGACTCTTCATCTTCCTCCTAACCAAGCAGAATGTAGCCCCCCGCCGCCGCTCCCCCCCCCCACCCCCACCCCACGACAAGCGTCTGATGTTTTGACAGCGGGCGAGAGGGGAAAATGCTGCCACTTTGTACCCGTTTGGAATCCTCCACCGCTGTTTTTCTCGGCGTGAACTATTGTGCGTGACAAGGTCCTTTCGACACACAACGCGCAAAGTGAACGTGGCATCAAGCAAAGCGGCTCTGACCTGATGACACCGAATTCTTTGTAAGAGCCCAGATGAGAGCGGAGCGCTGCATTATGGGTCCCCGCTGAGGCTGCATTTGACATCGTGATGATTTAGAGAAAGCCTAAGAGAAAATCGAGAAAATGATGGCAAATATTGATTCGGTGAAACAGGACTGAAAAAGCAGCCTTGCTGTATAAATCCATCCTCCCATCCATTTTCCACACCTCTTATCCTCAATGCCGAGCTGCGGGTGACTTGGAGACTCCAGCGTCACCGCGTGCATTGTCACTTATGATCAAAGTAAAGGTAAAGCTTTTTGTTTGGTTTGCTTTTCTTGTATGATTCATTCGACACACGTCGCATGACATTTGTCGATGTTAAAAGGTCGCTTTTATGATATAAACAGAGATTTATTGCACTCTATAGATTCTCCAAAGAAGCTTTCTGGCTGTTTATTTCCACCGGGTGAAGTTTACTGTCAAAGTAAACATCAAACAAAGGGAAGTACATGTATTTCACGACATAGGTTTGCCTCACGACAGTCCATTTAGCTTAATGCTAACAAAGAATGCAAAAAGCTAAATATACCACATATATATAGCTATAAAAATAAATAAAATCCTCTTTACGGTATTTACTAGCTATTCACTGCTTTATCGCCGATCTATGACCCATCATCTATCCACCCAGATCACTCCGTACTCTTTTGATAGTTCCGTGTTATTAAAGAATTCCTGCTAAAACGCTCAGCCCTGATGCTATCGCGCCAACATGTTTTATTACTGTCGAGGGACGTTGAGTTTAAAAAAAAAAAAAAAGAAGTGGGACCGCACATGCTGCATTACATTAAAATCCTTGTTAAAGCACCTCTTCTTGGCAGCAAGGAAGCCATTATCCCCGTAGAGCTTAATTAGCTGCAGCAACAGAGGAAAAGTGAATCACTGATAATGCACATTCCCTCAGGGCCGCGACCTTGGGATCTACTTCCAGCTGCACTGCGCATCACTCTGCAGAAGGTCTAAAGTGTACGGCCCCACTGGGAAATGCAGCCATTTAAAAAGTCCCGGCCGAAATGGAGTGTGAAGCGTGGCGCGCTCGGAGCACCGCTTTCTTGTTCCTCTTGTCACTTAGCGCAACAGTGCTGCAACGCGACAACCGCGATGTTCGACCAAAGGTTTTGGTTCATTATATAAAATAGGTCACTTCGTCTTCACACATTTTATGGCCGGTTTGAAAGAAAAAAAAAAGCTCTTGGAAGGCAAGGAACAGGCTCAGTAGTTTCTCTTGCCGTGTAAGCATACTGTACTCATGTCACGGATGACAAGGTGTGTATTTTGTGGCAAACCAAGTCGTGAGCATGTTTGGCGAATTTCAATGCACACAAGTGCAAAGCACGTGTCGTTAAACGAATATTAAATGAATGTAAATAAAATAGAGAAACAAATTTGTTTTTCGTAGCCCAGCGGGTAAGTGATAAAATTCTGTACAGTGGACAAATGTATGATCGGAAAAACACAACATTAATAATAGGAGTGGCGTTTTTATGCTAATAAATGAACGTCTTCAACCTAATGGCAGGACTACGAGCGATTTGCCGCGGCGCGGTCAGGCAGCTGGCGCAGAGCAGCTGTTCGGGTTAGCAAGAAGTGCAACAGTGCATCTCGAGGGGCTTACTTGTTGCCTCCGTTTTGCGTGACATCACAGCAGGTCGGATAGAAAACTAACCGGCATTTCATTGTGGGGCAATCTCCACTTGTTTGCGGGCCAGGCTTATCCCAAGCGAGCCAATTATCTCGGAGTGAGCGGAAGAGCAAGTTGCCATTGTCTCCGTATAGTGTCAGTCTTGCGCTGAATGCAGAGTGCTCGGGCTAAAACAGCGGGACTCATCACCAAGGACAAAGGTTAAGCTGAGGAGCACAGCCGGGCCATGTGCTCAATGTTGTGTCTGTATTTGTGTGTTGTCCTGGGCTCTGCTTCACTATTGTTGATGGAGGTGGGCTGCAGGTGAAAAATAGCTTGTGGGTGGCAGGCATGATTCAACTTGCTCCCCGAGCATGCTGTGCTAATTTTGGCATTTGGAATGTGTCTCGGTGAGCCGAAACAACTATGTGGCTTGAAATGTGATGAGAAAATATATATACCGTATTTTCCGCATTATAAGGCACGCCTAAAAGCATTTTCTCAAACGGCGACGGTGCGTGTTATAATCCGATGCACCTTATATACGGATCAATATTCTGATTTCTTGGACACAGTATTTGTAAATGTTCTCTAAAGCGCTTTCTTACAGCTGCACCAGTTATGAGTGCTCTCTATAAGTAAAGCTGTATTGTATTCCCTTTAGCATCGCTTCATCTCGTGGTTGTATAACGCAACCGCAGCCATTATTGGAGCTTCTATTTGATGCGCCTTATAATGCGGTGCGCTCTATATGTGAAAACAGTTTGAAAATAGGCCATTCATTAAAGGTGCATCTTATACTCCGAAGCGCCTTATCGTGCGGAAAATATGGTATAAATATATAATGCAATATTTGCAGTATTATTATAGACTGTTGGTATATGCCAAACCCCGAGCAAAGATCGACTGCACAACCAGCTCCCCTCCATGCAAGGAAAACACACAATATGTCCTTGATATGAAAGGCGCGTCTACTTTTACCTCCGGTAGCTTTCAGTCATCGCTTGCCGTAATTGCACAAAGAGACAGAAACTGATGGTATGATGCAAAGAGGGATACTGGAAATACATCCCAGTCTTCTTTCACTTCAGCCAACTGCACCCACTCCAGTCAAAGTTCATCCTTCTGGCTGCTAAATCAAGGATTATTTTTGCACACCGAGACGCCTCATACTTTGGCACTGTACTTTATATATACTGTAAATCCAGTATATGTTGCCCCGCATTATACTGATACATACAGCCAAATATTTCTTAAGCATAATTCATGGCTCACTTTTGAGTAGAAAAACGGATCATTTCGAACACCTTTAGAATATTTTTAGTCAAACAGGATTTCATTATCATGAAAAAAATACACTTCTGGGCTCCAGATGGACCTTAAGTGGTGGAATTTTGCCCCTAAAATTTGAGACAGTGCGAGTAAATTGTTAATCTACTCTACTTGCATGAGTGATCAGTAGATTCGCTGATTTGTTTAAAAGTTATTATTCATCCATCCATCCATTTTTTGAATCCGTTTATCCTCACAAGGCTCGCGGGGCGTGCTCCATTCAACCCCAGCTGTCTTCGGGCAGTAGGCGGGGGACACCCTGAACCGGTTGCCAGACAATCGCAGGGCACACATAGACAATTTAGAGTTCCTTTAACCTGCCATTCATGTTTTTGGAATATGGGAGGAAACCAGAGTACCCGGAAAAAAAAACACGCAGGCACAGGGAGAACATGCAAAATCCACACAGGAAGGCCACAGCCGGAATCGAACCCTGCACCTTTGCACTGTGGCAATGTGGCCGTCTCCTCATAAATTTTTTTCTGTGTGTGACCCTTGGAATAAAAAGTTTGGACAGCGCCCGCCGAAAGTATAAACATCAACTAGTAAAGCAGCCAGTGGATCAAGGACACATTTTAAGAGCAGGGGAAATGGGAGCAAGCCAATGTGCAAATGGTTGGGGCCATCATCATTTGAATGCAGATTAAGAGTGGCCATATTGTCGTGCTCATTTCCACAAAGAGCCTCTGCAAATTTTCCTTTCTGAACTGCACCACCGAGTATCAGCTTTTTGAGCATCGCTGACTGCGCATTGACAGTCGACGCACGTTTTGAGTCACAACTCATCGACTACAGGCGCTCGGTCTGCGGCCCGCACCCACAAAGCCCAGAGTTCTTGGATGTGTACGGCTACTTCGAAATATGTCACTGATGGCAACGCCTGTTATCGTCCTGGAAAGTGAAAATCAATCCATTCGGTCGCCAACGTAATCAGCTGTTGATGAAAATGAAAAACGAGGCAAAGTGAGGAGCACGC